GTGATAGTTCCATTTCAGACACCTTGTACTAAATGATAACAATATATTTTAAAAATTTCACAACACAAGTGTTCTAAAGCAAGTCTCTTTCTTTTAAAATGATTAAACATGCCAACATGAACTGTTTGCACAGATGATATTTACAGTAATGGGAAACTTTCGTTTGAACTTGACAATCCCTCTCTTGTGTTCTTCCCAATCTTCTACATCTGCTACCACTTATCCCTGACATTTCCGGCCATGGGTTGCTATGCAGTTCTCAATTTTTATGATGTGATCTACCTTCCCTAAAAGTTTGCCACTACACTTTTTAGACACCCTGTATACAAAATCTAAACTCTGCTACAAAAAAATATATGAACCCAGAACAAATTGAGCCACAACTATGAAACACAGCATACAAATATGGTTTTACGAGTTATGTAATGATTACATTTGAAGCACCAATTGGCCTTCTGGAGCAATACAATGTACATCTGAAATACGCACCTGGTATAATGTAAATGGGCAGTTACAGTGAGTGACAAGCATTTACAACTGTGCTAATGGCTTGGATACAAAACACCGTAGCAAAAGATGCCTTTAAGACAAATTCGATGGCTTTACAAACAGTTGCCAGAATTTGAGAGGAGTCATATCATAGGGCTTAATACAGGCAGGTTGGTCCAACAGGTGGATCAGCTGGCATATTCGTCGATGTGACATGGTCGTTGTCCACTGATAGAACCAGAAGCTCAGGGAAAGCAAAACTAGCCGTCAAAATGGCTCAGGATAACCCCTAGCCACGAATGCACGAGATGATTGTGCAATCAGAATAGCAGCCATGTCCATTATTCTATCATCGCTTCAATGCAATTTGCTAACTCACAGAGATCCCAAGATATCTAGGGATACAATTTGCAGAAAACTAGATGGCACTCTGCTCAGATCTCAATGTCCATTAAGATGTTTGCCATTGACACTCACTATATCGTCTTGCATGGTCGCTCTTGCTCAAGCTGGACAGTGCCCCACTGGAGAAATGAGATCTTCAGGGACAAATCATGCTTTTCTCTTAATGCTTATGACTGCTGCATACACATCTGGAGACGGACAGATGAGTGGTCCAATCTATCATTTGTTACCGAGTGGCACACAGTCAGAACACAGGGCGTGACAAACTTGGAAGGGATCAGCTGGTACAGCTATTTACCATTATTCAAGTTCTGAGGCACTCTGACTGCTCCCAGGTGCAATGACGACATTTTACAGCCAATCATACTGCCTATGCTAGCAGCACAGGCTTTGTCTAGTGGTTTGCAATTCTTGAACTGCCTATGCTAGCAGGTTGTCCAAGTTCTGTTTTCCAGCAGGACAACACTCGATCACATACAGCATGACTTTCCCAACAATGTCTTTGATGTGTTAATGTCCTCTACTGGCTTGCCAGGTTTCGAGATTTGTCGACTATCAAACATGTTCAGCAGGCAAATTCAGCCGTGTACAAATTCATCCCAACTTGTTAACCAATTGCTCTATTTGTAGCACAGTCTACTGCAGAGAGACAATGGCTGCTTAACAGACTCCATGCTCAACTAAGTATTGGCTTGTAGAGCTGCACTACTGATTTTCACGTTCTTTGTTTTGCTGCTCGTAAATAAAATGCATTTTTCACCCTAGTATTTGACTATTTACTTGAACAATATACTACTGCTCAGTTTTGTAGTTGTGGCTCAATTCCTTCTAGGTGTATATATATATATATATATATATATATATTGCTACAGAGTTAAATTTGACTACAGTTGGTATTCCTGCAAAGCAAACTGCAACATCTGGTTACAGAAAGCAGTAATCATTACAGACATGAGGTCACAGTTGTCAAGATGCTTTTATCACTTCAGTTTTTCATTTCATAATGCATTTCATAACAAATATAAGTTAACATATTACAAAAAATATAATTTTCAGTTTATATACAAGTTAAATATGCATACTACATACATCGCTTTTTAAATATTTTTAAATGCCTTCCATGTGAACCAATATATCTGACATTTTACTGTAATTTTATTAATTCATACTAAATGAAGTATATTTAAGAAAACATTCATACGAAACAAAAGTTATTTGGTGTTACAGATAATTACTGGGCACTATTTTACAAAATTTAACCATATAAGGAAACCCAACAGCTAGATATTAAAATATATAAATCAGGACTATTAGCTATAATGGTGATGTAGAAAAGTGATCAGACATCCTGGGTTGTGCAAGACAATCTCATATTTGAATTTAATTCACTTCAGGACATATTCTGGAAAATGTGCCTTATTCTTCAAATATTTTCGGATTTCATAAATATGACATGATTTGTTTTTAGTGCTTCAGATCATAAAGATATTATAATCGCACTACAAATCAAATAAACATGCTTTCTAGATGTATGTTTTAGGGAACTTGAGTCCACAAGAACAGTAATTTGTAAAAGAATTTCTGGTTTCCTACTTCAGCTGCAATTTGTGCTTGGATAATGGACAATGAAATTAAGTCCTCTGAACGACTTTAATAATGTAGAATATATTGCAATATCTATCGTAGAATGCAAAATGCTGGGGAAGAGGCAAAAATTTACTATTTTGACAAAAAAATAATAATTTAACTACAAATTTTTCAACAAAATTCAGAAAGATATGAAATACCCCAAAAAATTAAAGTGCTGAAGTATAAAATTGATACTGGGCAAAATGGAGTGAGATTTTCCACATAAAAAGAATAATCATGCCCCTTCTTTCAAATAAATCTGTAGCATTAATTACTAAAGTCTATTTTCTAGAAAAAATTGCAACAACCCAAAATATATTTCAATAGTACAAACAGTGAAAACTTTCATGGTGATCACTTCTAAAATGATGCAGTATTTCTGAAAACATAAATACTGGTACTGAACATATATGAAAGTTATATTCTCCAAGTAAACCAAAATTAGAAATCACTGGGCTGTGCAAACATTTTTAGCTTATAAACAATTGGGAAAATTAAAAGTATTAACTGTTTGAAATAATAAGGTTATGCTTTGCACAAAATATTTTTAACGGAATTGTCTTGTCCTGCACTGACAGAAAAATCTGCTCATTTTGTGATAGAATGATTTCATCAACTTAAAAAAAAAAAAGATATAATTAATACATGTCCGTACTGAAAATGTAACACATCTCTATGCTTTAAATCTGTACTGTAAATAATTTCAGTACTTACATATTATCCCGTCGACCGTGCAACCGTTGTATAGCACCAATTATGAATAACCATAACATCACAGAACATTCGAAACATCTCCAATTTCTTTTGAAGCAGCCTGAATTGATTATGCCTCCTTCTGTTTTTATGAACTAGAGCATAAATTAACTGTTATTGCTGTATTTTTTCTTGCATTTTGAAAAAAAAAAAAAAAAAAAAAATTACGTCGCGATCTAAAGAATCACATTTGTGACTGCTCTCCCGTTCATTTACAGCTAAATGTGAATTAACATATGTTCTGTGACAAAAAGAGCAGATGGATGGTTCACAAAACAGTAACAGATTGGAACAATCACCTGTGGGAAGTCTGTACTAATAGCATTCTAAACGAAACCTCTGGGTAAAATTGGAGAGTCTACCAAAAACAAGCACAAAAATAAAGCATCTCGAATGCTTCCACGATGGTGCCTATATAGTGGACTGAGAATGTTTTATTGTTAGAGCTGCAGATAAAAGCACAGCTCAGAATTCTGCAGGAACCATTGGCACTACTTTGGCGGAATATCTACCAAGGTTCATGGCAGCAAACATTCACAGTTGATAGGATAATATGCAAGTACAATAATTTGTGGTTTTTCTCTTATCACGCATGTGTGTAATATATATTATTACATTTTTTTTTCATATGAACAGAACTAAGTAAAATTTGCTTTCATTTGTAGTAAGCATGTTTTGAAGAAAAGTTCTCCATATTAGCATGGAAAGCATTCAATAATTTTGAAAGCACTAACTTTTTAGAACATTTTATTTTGTATAATATATAAGCTAACCAGATAATTTTATCTTCAGTTCTAACATGTGTAGTGAAATGTTAAATATTTCTATATCACCTATGATATGATGATTTCTAAGATGATCTCTGCAGAGAAGTATACAATAGTTATCTTTACTGACTACCTAAGCAAATCTCAATTTAATTCTTGTATTGCAAGTAAGCAATTCTTTTTATTCATAGTATGATAGATTAAAATAATCAGCAAAGATTTCCTTTGTTTGTCCACCACGGAAATTTTAAGAAGATAAAGAGCCACCTGTCAACATCATGTTTTCCACATGATTCAACATGAAATAAACTTTCACAATATATCATCGGTCATTCTTCCAAGACTGAATCTGCAATTCCTCTTCTTTTCACTTTCATGTACTTTTGAATCTCTTTCTATGCTTTACTGTACTATACTACATCACACATGCATTTAAGAGAAATTTTAAACAGAAGTCAGAATTCAGTTTTTCTTAAAATCAAATGTGTATCAAACTTCTCATTAAAATTTTGTATAAAAAATTATTTTGCAGAGTTGTGGGCTTGGTGCAATGCTGATATGTCTGAAGTTGGAGGTAGATAGAACACTTACGTTTAGATCGTAGAAGCAGATGCCAATATATAATGTGTAATGGATTTATTAAAGCATGGTATTTAGTGGTAACACTGCATTTTAACATTTAAATAGCATTAAAAATTGTTTCTCAGAAAATAATTTCTAACGTAATGATAACATACATACATAAGGCAAAAAACTAACAAATTAAAATAGACAATTTTTCAATTTCTTAAAACTAGATTTTTAAAATTATGAAAACAATATTATGCATAAAAATGATTTCTATTAGATCATAGAATTATATACAACCTGCTTGATACTCAGATTGATAAAATAATTATTAAATACACAATTTCATAACATTTTTATTTATACAGAAATATAAAATGAAGTGCTTACTTTGAAAAATATATACAGTCCTAAGAGGGCACCACTAGCAATCAGTGGAAACATCGCAGCATCTTTTTTTGACATTGTTTCAGGTTTTTCCCCAGAATCCTAAATTTAAAATAATATTGTAAGAATAAAATTCATGGCAGGTGGATAATGTAAAAGTTTCAAAATCAAGCATTCCTGATCAGATTAGGCATCCTAATCAATATGAATGTTTGTACATGTAAAGTACCTTGGGGTAGGGGATATAAAGTCTTTCAAGACTCTTAAATTCTTTTCTCTGGGATGTTCTTAATCAAAAAAGGAGATGTAGCTAGGCAAAAAACATCCTTGCAAGCTAAAACTGGGTCTAAAGACTAGCCAATAGTAGGTGTCGCTCCAGTCTTCCTTTAGGCCCCATGATGAATTTGACAACCAGATACAATTCAGATTAGAAGAGACAATAACAACTACTACTTTTACTATGCAAATTCTTTATGTCCAGGGGGGGACTGTCATTTCATTTGCAAAAAATATTTGTTCCAAGCCTCACATGCAAAAGGATAGTGCATTTATATACAAAATATGTGCATTTATAATAGAATAATAGTACAGCTATTTTTTTCTATACTACATGGCATTGTTATTTTCAATAGCTTCTTTTAAATACATGATTTTATTTAGCTGGAACAGAAACATGGCAATGTAAAATGCTTTGTTCCTGAAGAAGAGATAAATGCAAGATTTTTGTTAAAAAGCAAAAAAGTTCCACTTAAATTTTTGCCAATATAAATAAGAGCGCATTTTTTGCTTAACTATGAATTTATGTTCTGCACACTGAATTTCTAGAGATTAATTCTGAAATTAGTGAATCTATGATAACTGCTTAACAAAGTATTTTAGTTGTTAAATAAAATTGTATTTCCTCACTTCTTTCCAGGGTAAAAGTATATTTTAAGGTAATCCCTTGGCGAAACTTGGTGGTACATGGATATCGAGTTTAGGCAATTCTTTGACTTATTATTTTGGCTAGCATAACGGCAATTGATTTTTGGCGTAAAAATCACCGCTACACAAAGCCAAAACAAGAAGACAAAGAATTGCACAAACTCAGTATCTATGTACATATCGACATATTTTCACTTAAATCCCCAAATTTCACAAAAATTGCATTGTGCACTCCCTTCACTTTGTCCATGTACACATCAATATATTTTTCACTTAAAAAGTCAAAGGAGCTCCCAATTCTACAATACAGGCAAACAAAAAATACACAATCTCAATAAACTACATTTTAAACCAAACAATAAAATAACATAAAAAAGGAAAAACATGTTATACATTTAAGCACTACAAAAAGCAAATATCCACTTACCCTAGTTAGAAGTTATTTAGTTCCTTTATCTTTAGTCTGTGGCACACAAAATTCCTTAACAGCATCCAAAAACTTCCCAAAATTATCTGAACTCGAATCCGTATATCAGCGTTGTTAGATCTGAACCTTTCTTCCTACAAACCCATCCAAAGCTATCTAAATGGTTTTTATTTTGGACTAGATGCATATCCTTCCTACATACAGGACACTTATAATGGCTACTAAGTAAACTTTCATTTACACACCAGTCAATTAACGTTCTTTTCCCCTTCCATTACAAATCGTACAGAAACTTCAAATTAATCTTACTACTTTCAGCCATTCTACCCTCTAAATAGTAAAACCAACACACACCACAAAAGCGCTTACAAAACATCCCACGATTCAAAATTTCCCAGAATCATGCCCCCAATTACTTCACAATAGGGTTTCCATAACATTCAACTACTCAGGCTACCATATATGAAACAACAACTTATCAATAAATGAAACAAAAACTTGGCGATATACCAAACAACAACTTCACCATAATACAAGGGGTATCTTAAAGTCTACTCTAACCGACTGAAACAACCAAAGATCTATTTGCATCCCTAAAAAAGTATTCATGAGGCAACACACTAAGTTGCCAAATTAGGCAGCCCATAATGCCACCAAAATATATTCATGTGGCAATCCAGGCATAGTGTCCCCACTGCAGATTTCTGGCTTGAGATTTGACAATCTATCAGTGTTTATTTTTGTTTCTTTTTTTTTTGGGGGGGGGGCTTGTGGGAAATTGTAATGAGACTGTGGAGTTTGCCAGATAAAGAAAATGAAAGCATAGCATTTCTTTAGAAATACACTGTTTTGTTCAAAGTAGAAAATGCAAAAATTCCAATTTCAGGAAGATGTACTCTGATCAAATTTTATGGATTAAAATTTGTGCACAGATGCCACATTTGTGTACTAATTTCCTTAGGCAAAAAACAGATTGCTGAGTATGCAAGAACACAATATCGCAAACACTGCTAAGTTTATGAAATTTTTCTGATTTTTTTTTTTTTTTTTTTAAGCAAAAACAAATTGTTGTGTACATGAGGAGAATAGCATGCTAAAAATATTATATATGGATTTCTTCAGAAAAGTAAGTGTTTTATTGGGAGTGCTTCTTGATTTTTTAATTTTACTGAATCATTACTATCGCATGAAATTCTTAGTGTGCTGCCATTTTCAAAATCGCTGCTGCCTTTCTCATATTATCTATGATACACTGCTTGCTTACTGCACTGATTTGTTTGTTCATTAACTGCTAAAGCGTTTGCAAATAACAAATGATCACCTAGAAATGATTAAAGTTAGAAACTTGAAATAATTAAATTTAACAATCTCCCCAGCCTTTGAATTTGAAAATTTCTTAAGTCTTAATAATTTTATAAACATTTGTTAACATTTTATAAACAGTTAACGCTTACATTTCTAATATAAAATTCTGCGACATGCGTAGATTGCAATACATAAAAATATAACTAAAATGCACATTCGGAAGTAGTAATATCTAATATAGTTTCCTTTTATGCAGTGATATGTTATAAACAAAACTTTGAAATCAATTAGATTAATCAATACTTTTTAAATGACTATAAAATCGTGATAGAAAGAAGCTTTTCTTAATTCATAAATGGCAAAAGATAAGCTAGCAATGATATTTCGTGTCAAGAAAATAGTTAAACTAGAAATTATATCATAATATATCCAATAACTAGCTGAAACTAACTAACTAAAACTAATTGAAATAATCTGGATAAGGTAGTATTCAATGCCATGAAAAATACAGAAACTAATAAAAAGCAGTTAATATAGTTTAGAGGCATACTCGTCAAACATATGGCCAGAATACAAACTACTCTAATGCTCACTTTCTGTTTCTTCAAGTATGAAATAGATCGGAATGATCCAAAGAAAATTGGTAAAAGGGCCATCACGATTAAGCTGGAATAAGCTATCATCATTCCTTCAGTAGATGCCTTAGGTTTTGAAGTTTCATTTTTAGCAATTTCTTGCAGAGTTTCATTCAAAACGTCAGCCATGGTTTCAATTTGGTGACTTGTCTTAAATGCGAAACTATCGGTCGCAGTTTTTCAACAAAGAGAAACTGAACTGTGGTTTGAAAGCATCATTGCTTCATTTTTTATATTTTAAAGCAAATTATTGTAATTTCATAGTAATAAAAATTAATACTACATAAATTTAATATGAAAAATTATTTCTAGTGCATTAAATCACTCATAATAATAAAATAATTTGCCCTAAGTTGAGGGAATTGTACTTTATTTCTATCCTACAGCAAACAGTCAGGAACACTTGTGTTTATTACATTAACTAATGAGTTACAGCAGTGATAATTACACTAGTAATAATTCCACTTGCAACAGGTAGCTTAATAACCTGTTACATGCATTACGTTGCAAATAACAGCAGTTTTCGACATCTCACCTTAACCATGCGAATTTAAACCCCGCGTGAATCTTATCAACAAACTATGATGAGTTGAATGCACTTGAGTGGTTATAGTATAAATATGGCAGTAAATAAAAGTGTAAAGGTAAAAAAAAAAAAACTATATTTTTGCTAAAATAATATGACATTAACAAATGTAAAAGAAAAAATCTGGAAGAATTCAGATTTTAACGATCGCCCAAAAGGATTTGTTAAAGTTTATGTTCTCGCCCCACTCCCAGTGTACCATTCATTCTGCTGTTGCATTTACTGCTAACCCATTTCTTTTTGTTCTTAAGCTTTATTATTAAGCATAATTTTCTTCGCTCTTACGCCATATGCAATTCAACAGCAACATTGCAAAATTTTTAAATGGAGCATAGCAACATATGTTTAGAATTCCCGATGCAGTGTTAAGTGTTGGCGTTGGTTTCTCTAATTGTCTTTTCTCATCTAATCATTTCAATGCTCAGTTTTCTTCCTAAGAAGGCTAGCAAAACTTTTTTTGTCTTTGAATTATTAACTTTTGTGTGTTAACTTTATTTATTAAATATCACGTTTTTCGCCATTACGCCATATGAAATTCAGTTTAACCAACAGCAGAATCACAAAACATTTAAAAAGAGCATAGCTTTAGAATTATCTTTCCAATCTCGCATACTGGAGATAAAAATGTTTTATTTCGTGCAGTGTTGCCATTGCTCCCTTTCAAATCGTTGAGTTTGTTAAGTTTGTTAATCAAAAATTCATTAAAGTTGTATGAAATATAAAATTCAAAATTCAGTTTTCCAGGTGCATATGTTCGGGTGGAAGACCACATTCATTAAAACTGAGTGGTACCATCATTTTTTCACAGTGCCAGGAACATACATATATCAAGATTCTTCATAATTTAATTTCTTTAGGAATAATACAGGGCGTTAATATTTGATGGAAACAATTTGAAAAGTAATACAGTTGTTCAGAGTATACGACAGAAATTCTTATTTCAAGACAGCCCATTCAGGCTGATGTACTTTTTGGGTAAATATGTCAATGCATCTGAATAAAAAGTTAAATTCTACATGTGAAATGCTTAAATCAATGCAACATTAGATTTTGCTATTTATGAAATTTAATGTGATAAATCTTGGTAAGTAGCAAAATTGGTTGTTATACTGATTTTTTTTTTTTTTTCCCTTTATTGAGCATACTCATTTTGAAAACATTTTATTGTAATTACTTGGTGTATTTAGTAATTTCATTTTATTTAAAAATAAATATTATTTCTGATTACTTAGATTGGCATTATTGGTGGCTCTGGCTTAGACGATCCCGATGTTCTCACCGATCGAAAAGAAAAGACTTTTGTGACTCCCTTTGGTTCAGTGAGTATTAAGTAACTTTTTGTTAGAGTAGATTTAAGGGTGCCCCTTGTATTATTGCGAAGTTGTTGTTTAACTTATGGTAACCTGAATAGTTGAATGTTATGGAAACCCTATTAAGACATAATTGGTTATATGATTGTGGTGAATTTAAATGATAAGAAAAGATTTGTAAAGGCTTGTTTGTGTGTTAGATGTTGGTTAGGAAGTATGTTGGTTATTTTGTGGTTTACATGGTAAAATGACTGAATGTGGTAAGATGAATTAAAAGTTTCTGTACGATTTGGAACGAAAGGGAAAAAAAGCTTTGACTAGTGTATAAAATGAAGGTTTACTTAATAGCCATTATAAGTGTCCTGTTTGTATGAAGGAAATGCGTATGGTCGAACGGGATGGGTTTAGCATAAGAAGTACATTGTTATTTTGTGGTTTACGTGGTAAAATGTTTGAATGTTGTAAGATTAATTTGAAGCTTCGATACTATTTGGAATGAAAGAGAAAAAAACATTAATTGACTGGTGTGTAAAGGAAGGGTTTACTTAGTTTCCATTATAAGTATTCTGTTTGTAGGAAGGAAATGCGTATTGTCGAACATCGGAGGATTTGCACTACGGAGATTATTTTTTACTCTTATTTTTGTGAATATATGTGGCGACAACAGTGTACAGATTCTAGTTCAGATAATTTTATCAAGTTTTTGGATGCTGTTAAGGAATTTTGTTTGACTGAATTCAGGGAAATTTGTAAATAAGTTAAGTGGATATTTTCTTTGTGTAGTGCTAAGATGAATTTCCTTCTTTATGTTATTTCATTGTTTGATTTAAAATATAGTTTATTGAGATTATGTATTGTTGCGTGCGTACGGATTCGTTACTAAATGAATGCACAAGTCCGATGAAAAATGAACAAAAATTTATTATTATCACAACAAAAATGCTTAAATTTTCTCAAATTATCACGCAGTATTACAATATCTCACAGTAGTTATCTTTTAACTACTCAAATGTCCATTAGAACGTAATTCAAAACAGCTAAAGAACGCTAATCCGCAAATTCGCTACAATCAACAAGAGCAGTTTTCTAAACAACAATAAATTAAGCAACTACTACAAACTGAGATGTTTTCCTCCTTTTATAAGATTTTAAAATCACGCGCTAGAATTTTCCAGCACTTTCTCGAAATCAAAAAGAGATATTTATTTATTTAACGCACGCGCTCTTGTATTTTTAATTTTTCCGGCTTAGCTTTCTTTTAATATTCGTCACGCGCTGCACTGCGTGAGAAATAAAACCATTTAATTTATAATTGAACTAACATTAGCTTTTTAAATACCAAATTCGTAACAATATTTTTTGTTGGCTGCTCTTTTGACTTTTTAAGTGAATACAAATTGGTGTGTACATGGACAAAGTCAAGGGAGTGCGTAATGCCTAATTTGTGCAATCCTCTGTTTTTTTTTTTTTTTTTTTTTTAAGTGAAAATAGGTCAATGTGTACATGGATACTGAGTTGGTGCAATTCTTTGACTTGTTATTTTGGATTTTTGTGGCAGCGATTTTTGAAGCACAAATTGCCGCTACACAAAGCCAAAATAACAAGTCAAAGAATTACACAAACTCGGTATCTATATATCGCCAATTTATGCCAAGGGGTACCCATAAATGTATTTTTACCAACTTTTCTTCATTATACTTTAAACATATATGTAATTTTCAGGGAATAATTTTATGCAATACCTTCATTTTCCTTTTCCAGTTTTGAATTCATACTTGCCTATAATTATGTATAGCAGAGCTTGACAGTCTTGTAGCTGTGGTGTACCAAACCAATCCACCAGTATGATTTGGGATGCTGCACAGTAGGAAATATTTGAAACAGTTCAATTCCCCTGGCAATGCATGCAAAGTTAGGGAACAGTATGACAACAATACAGATGTAGAAGTTTTATTATATATTAATTATGCATTGTTTAAAGATATTTTTTGACATAAAGATAGACAACAAATGTAATTATTCTTTCAACAAAAATAAAAGATTAAATTTGTACATCTATTATGTATTAAAAAATAAATGACATAAAATATAAGTATTCCTTCAATATAGTTAAATAAAAAGCTTAAATTCTAATGTGAACCTTGTCTCCAGACCACTGTATTTAATATTGTAATATCAGGGGTATAATTTGTGACTTTCAATTTGACATATGGTTCTCAATATTCAGTTGTTAAACAACTTCTTTCTCAACTGAAAATATTTTTCATATGACTAAAGATTTGTTCACATAGCTATGTGAAACCAGAAGCAGAAAGCAGAGCACATGCAATTTTCTTCAATCATTAAACAGTTAAATCTCTCCAGCATTGACATCCAGCAATTAAAAATATCTGTTAATTTATGGTTAGAGTTATCTTCCAGACTTTTTTGTAATTCCATAAACTTCGCTTACCATAATTCTGAAAATGCTAGTTCATTAAATTCCATTTCAAAATTATCAACTTCAATCCACTCAAAAATTAACAAATTGGATGGGATTATTAATGGGCCTATTAAATCTGATTTGGTTAGGGAGGAAAATATAGGCATACAATCTTTAAAGTCTTTGCATCTTTAGGAAAATTCTTCCTTAATTGCTTCAATGTAGGTTCTTAAGTTTATCTTTGTATTTGCAAGCATTTTACATTTGAGAAGTATTTATAGGTACTAGTGTTAATATCATGGAAAAATAAATTTTGTAGAAAAGCTTTTTCAGCATTTAAAAACTTCAAGCACTGCTTGTGCCTTTCCTGGCAATCCTTAATTCATTAAGATGCTTAGTTATATCAATCAGAAACATCAATTTGCATAGCCATTTTTTATCGTTCAATTTGGGGAAATGATGATTTATGTTTGCCTGATAACTTTGCAGAGTGGTGTAGAATGCCACCAAGATTTGTTCCATGTGCCATAGGTTGTCAATGCCTGATGTACAGCATACAGTCCAAAATGCAGATGCCCATTATCTTGAATGACCTAATAATTTTGACTTTCAGTTTGACATATGGTTCTCAATATTCCGTTGTTAAACAACTTCTTTGTGAACTGAAAATATTTTTCATATGGGTCATGAAAAACTTTTTTTTTTAGAAATTTTTTATGCTTTTCTCTTGCGAATTTAATATTGTTTCATGCTAAAACATGTTGAGATTCTTAATTTCACTTCGGCTCTGACACCAACCAGGCAAATCATCATTTATTATTTCTTGCTCTCATCATCACATGACTGCCAACACTCTGTAGCTTGAGAAAAAAATTACAAATTGATGTCTAAACAGTTCTTAAAAAATTTTTATTAGTAGTAATTGAATACCAAAGGGCGACCTTTTATTTTGACATTGCACTCGGCAATGATTACAAACTTTAGCTAACTTCGCTGCTAAGTGGTGAGTGTGCTTATGAGGAAAAATTTTAACAGAAATTTCTTTCCATAAGTAAAATTTGTTTTTGTAAATGATACTTGTAGCTAAAAGATGACATTTAGTGCTGTTTGAGTTGAGAATAGCTAATTTGTTATTCATTTATGCCCAGGACTGATGCTAAAGCTGGTGGAGCTACACGAGCTGGCAGATTTTAAGGGAAGCAAATTTTTAGGATTTAGAGAAGCACTGAGCAGCAAAATTAAAGGACAGTAAAAGCTTTTGAATTTAGGAAAAGCAATGGGGTGCAAAATTCAGGGACAGCAAAATTTTTAGAATTTAAGAAGATGCTTGGCAGCAGAATTTCAACCTGCAAAGACTGCACCACACCACAAAATGTTTAATGCCAGCCCTGAATAAGCCTTAAGTATATGTAGGGATTTATTTATTCAGAACTTGGATAAGCCTTAAGCATGTACAGCAGTTAGGCATTAGGTAATATAAATAACTAAATATAATTCAGGCTTAACTTCATCAGCATGTGCTAGAAGCAAGAGAAAATTTAGCAGAATATGACTTTAGTGCATAGCAGATACTGGCTGAGTTTTGTGATGATAGCCGTGGATTTGAGTGTTTTCAAATTTTGCAAACAAAAAGCGAAATTGTGCAATTTATAAATTTGTGGAGAGATGGTAATTATAAAAGAAGTTTTTCATTGTGATGAAATTGCCCCAATCATCTGTTTTATCAATTTATTTGTTTAGTGGTCCATTTTGTTTCTAGGGTTCCCAGGGTTTATTTCAACATAGTCATGTTCCTGATTATACTGCATGGTCTGAGCTGGGGTGGTTTGCAGACTTTTGGGTCTTGTATTAGAATGTTGGTTACAATCTAGGGCTATATATCCTCCCCAAGTCAGTGACAGAACTGACAAATGTTCTTCTGAAAGAATGGCATGCAATTTCTGCTAAAACATTTTAAAACTACTTGATGGCCTTTTTTAAAGAATTTGTAAAAGGTAGCTGAACATCATTATAATTTTCCTGTATCTGCAGGAGAAACAAAGTATACAAATATTTGGATTGATTGCATTAAAAGCTGCACTTGTCTACGCACTGGAAAATAACTATTCCAGTATATATTCAGACTCAGCCTCTAGCCTCCAGGAAATCCAAGGCACATGTACTAAAAATCCACTCCTCAGGGCCATACAAAAACTCTTATTAAGAACACCAAAATACTGTAGGCCTGAACTCCAGTGGGTACTTGCCCACACCGGAATATTGGGTAAGGAAATTGCAGATGCAATAGCCAAAAGAGCAGCAACTGATCCCCACGTTCTCAACCTTGACTTGCCTCTCCCAGGCTCGTTCTTAAAAGCTGAGCTCGAGAGAGAATTACTTAAACGTTGGCACCATCTGTGGGGACAGAGACCACCAGCAGAAGGGTTAACAAAAGTGGCTCATCTCACTTCACTCAGTTTCTAACAGGACATGGTCTCTTCATGACTTACCTGCATCACTTCAGACAACATGGAAATGACCATTGCTCATGCGGAATGGCAGGAGATCCGGACCACTATCTGTTCACTTGCTGAGAAACTGCCAAACATCATCTTAGGCAACCAGTAGGAAACCACATCCATGCGTGGGCCGAAGCTACTTCGAAAAAATCGCAATGCATTGAAACGCATATGTGATTGCATAAATATTGCACGTAAAATCTCAGACAGGCTGGAGTAATTCTCAGCTGCCATCCTAGTCACTAGCACAGCCCCAGTATGCTCTGTACCTGTAATGAATTAATTTTATCTTAAGTTAACTTATTCGGCTTTTCTTATTCCCTGTATATACATATCTTTTGGAACTGTAAACCCTGAATTATGAACCTTGAATTATGTATTTTGCCTTATTTTATGTATTGTTTTCACTCTTTTGCCTTTTTTTTTTTTTTTTTTTTCATTTTATGTATTATTTCGCTTTTTAGTATTTTACTTCTTATTATTTTTAGTATTGCTATTTAGTATTTAGCCCTGTTTTAGATATTACTTTTACTGTTTTATCAGTCACTCTGTTAATTGCTCATATGTTGCACTGTACTCATTTATTGTTCATGTTGTGGATGTCTTTTGTAATCATCTATCCATAACTCTGTAAATATGTAACTGAAATTGTTCTTCTCACCCGCAATGCACCCTTCTTCTATCACTGCACTATTGTCTCGTCCAGCATTTGTTTGCACTGCCCCCAGCACTCGTCTTGAGCACAATATGTATATAAGTGTGTTATGTTGATCAAATTTTTTCTGTCAGCGGGATTACCTGGCCGATATGCTAACTACCCAGTGGACCGACTGCCTCGCTGTCGGTGAAAAGAAAGAAAGGGTACTTTTGAATATATAGTGTATAATAATAATATAAACCACATATGAATTTCTAGAATTTAACCAATATACGTGAACCATGAAGTCAAACTCACTTTTATTTTTGAAATGAGTGCTTCCTAAAATATTTTTTTAATTATTATTAAATTTTAAAGTAATAATTTGGGATTATTTTTCTTTCCTTTATATGTATCATTTCTGTTGTGCAAATTATTTTTGTTATCCCTTTAATACTGTGTAATAAATTTGGAATTTATAAAATTTATTATAACTATACCTCTCTAATTTTTTTAACTGTTAATTTTAGCCATCAGACAGTCTTATTGAAGGGAAAATAAAGAACGTTGATTGTGTCCTTTTAGCAAGGTAAGTTGTTTTAATACATATTAGTTTTGATTTCGTATTATGTAAGCACTAAGGAATTTTAAAACTAATATTTGTTAAAAATTGTTTATCTTCATATTAAAGGATTTCAGTTAAATCTGATTTATTACTAATTTAAATTCAAAGCTCATACATAACAGCATTATTAAAAGTATATGAAATAAATTAAATGCTAGAAAAGTTTCATGTTTTTTCAACCTTTTGAACACTGCTTTTTCAACTTAAATTCATATCTTTGCGAATAGGTTTGCTGCGTGGGAAGTTTCATTGTTTTTTTCATGGGTAATGTAGACATCTGTCAGATCCCCTTAAAAAGTCATCCACAAAGACATTCTTCACTTAAACAAATAATCAGTAAAAATTTACTCTACAGTACCCTTTGGTGAATCATTTCTTTTTTGACGCCAAAATCGGCGGCAATTTCAAGATGGCCGTTACAAAAAACCAAAATATTATGTTAAAGACTTGCTCAAAGTCAGTGTCCATGTACACATCGACCTATTTTCACTTAAAAAAACATGAGAGAATTTCACAAACAAGGCATTGCACACTGCCTTAACTTTGCCCATGTACACATCGACCTATTTTCACTTTAAAAAAAATATCAGAGAATTACACAAACTATACATTGCATACTGGCTTAAATCTGCCCATGTATGTATTGATCTACTTTCACTTAAACAAAATCAGGAAGTTAAACAAAGTTAAAACTATCATGGTATCCACAAAAAATTCGCCGCTGTCTTAACATGCAGAAACGAACAAATAACCAAAAATACATAAACAGAGAGGAATAAATTACCAAAAATATATGTTTCCTAACATAAAAAATTAAACAACAAATCCGTTAACAAAAATTAACACACAGAGATAAATAAATAAATGAAACGTCAATTTTTTAACATACTTTTTTTCATGTGCATACGTTTAGGCTTCCCTCCACCATCTCCTCTGTCCTCCAGGTGAGCCATTCAATTAAATTTTTCTTTGTTTCGGCTCATCCACTGTTAATCAACATTTATCCTATTACCCACCTCAGACACACTCAAATGATGGTACCCACAACAAAATAATAGCAAGTTAAAAATCCAAGACCATACCAAACACGTACAAGCAAACACAGCAACTGAACAGAATAGTGAAAACCAAAAACCTGGGTCCTTACAAAAGGGTTACTATAACAAAAAATTGCAGTGGGCTTCCAGATTTCATGAACAACCATTATCGCTTGGTGATTTTTTAAGAAAAAACCATACCGTACGTTAAAAATTAGCCAAATAATCTTTGCCAAAATCAGAATAATCTAACCTAACCAGTTTAGTTCTAAAAAAAATGCTGGATATTTTTTTTAATTTATATTTTCATAATAAAAAAAATGCCAGATATTTCCAAAATATAAAAGAATTTGGTACTTTTCCGTTTCGCCGACGCAAATCTCGCCAAGCAGACTTTGTTGGCGACAACATACAATAGACACATAAAAAATGTTAATTCTAAGAATTTTTTTTTTTTTTTTTTGAAGGCATAAACATTTTAATATGGTTTTAAATTTTGTAAAAAGACAATAAATAAAGACAATAAATTTGTAAAAAGACATTAATTTAAGAATTTACTATGATTTCATGGTTTCAAATCCTGATTCGCCGGTTCGTATCACGTGACCCCAAGTAATCTCATCTCACATAAACTACGCTACTAAAATCTAATTCGCTCAGTAATTATCTACATTAATTTCAAGTTAAATTCTTCTTTGGAATAGAAGTTTAAATGCAAGAATTATTTCAATTCGTACGAATAGCTTACTCAGAAATTAGTGTCTTAACGCATTGAATTTAACACTTGATTTCGCCTTCGGATGAGCGGTTTAATTGCATTCTAATTGACTTAATTTACGTGGATTGTCTTAGGGGATAAAATTTAAATTCGTGTGAAAAATTCTATTATTGTATGCCAGTTTAATTGAAGAATCTTCTACGAAATGGCTTCAACTTGTTTTAAACTGAGGGCGTAAAAGGTTACCAGCGAAGATATTCCATCTGGCATCAGTTAAACCATTATTGGCGACTTTATCGTGTGCGCCGGCAAAACGGAAAAGTACCAAGAATTTTATCAAACTGAAGTTGAACCGTCATTCAGTGTTAAGCGTATTTAAGTGATTGCTTGTAAATTAATCATTTTTAAACTAATACATGTTAATTTATATCATTAATACCATTTGAGCTCCTTTTGTGTATTTTTCTTTATATTCCAGACATGGACGGAAGCATACCATCATGCCTAGCAATGTTAATTATCGAGCCAATATTTTTGCCTTAAAAGAACTTGGTTGTACTCATATCGTAGTTACAAATGCATGTGGTTCACTAAGAGAAAATATCAAGCCTGGTCATATTATATTTCCTGATCAATTCATTGATAGGTGAGTAATAATATAATATTATGAATGCATATGGCTAAGAAAAGATATTAAATCTTGATATCATATTGTTACGTTTTTCTCTTTTTCTTCTGACACCAGTTGTTACGTTATTTTCTTCCTTCATGTTTGTATGGGGTTCGTAGATTTGGAGTAAATAACGATGACACTTTATGAAGTATCAAAACACACTTTATTAGCCAGTATTGTCAGGACAGCTCCAAAACACGTTTTACAGTCGTCGATGAAGTACAATAAATATGCTGGAATAATCAGCGAAACAGCCTTCAGGTTATCACGGTGGAGACAGCTTCCTGCAAAGCACCCGACTCTGCTTTTCTAAGTACAGCTCCCGACTTTGCTTGGTCGTTTTTGGAACTCCACGTACTCTCGAGACTCTCCACGCTACAACTTGCGATGCACTCAACGACACACGAGTACAGCTCCCGACTCTTCGGTTCAGTCGTTTCCGGAGCTCAACACGCTTTCTCAACGGTGCTCTAACCGCGATACTCTACGAGACTCTTTCGGTACACTCAACGACCCACTCGGCACTTCGCTGGCCGGCTGTGAATGAGATCGCCTCCGCAGGGATTAACTTGCTAGGTGAGACACACTCACTCGATGACACACACTCTCCCTCTCGATGAAGCACACTCACTGACTGCGGACCAGCAGGGTTTATATAGCTTTTGGCTTGAGTTCAAGAACATTCTGGGCTAAACCGGTAAGAATTCGTTCCAGAAGGTTCTCCATCCGTCCATGAGATATCGCCAAATGTCACCAAATGGGCTATTTCTCGCCAAATGTGGCAACCCTAAAAACTGCTTTGCGGGGAAGCTATCTTACCGCGCCTGTACATTAATTTAATTATATGTTAGTGAATAAAATATTTATTTAAAAGGAATATTGTGACATTATGGGTATTTGGGTAATGAAAGTGGGTTATATTTTAGTAGTCACTTCATTCTAAGTTTGCTAGTGGTCTAAAGAATTTTAATCAATCAGTTTCTCTCTTTTTACTGTAACTTAGGTTTTCATTATTATATATACATATAATGATATTAACCCGGGTATTTCTTCTTTATTCTAAAAATAATAATTGCATTTCTAGATTAATGTATGCCACAAAGTTTGCATAACGCTAATGACGTAGTTATTTTGGAACATAAATTGAACTCTTTCTAATGTAAACCAAAACCTTCTTCTTTGGTGAGCTGCCATTTCGCTGTGCTGTCTTCCTATTGCAAAAGTATTAAAAAATGTAAATGTTCTGGAAATAGGCATGATTAGAGTGCCAAGTGAAATGCGGCCATAAGTGTGAATTTAAATAGAAGTGGAATTTAATCTGCCTCTGCTGCCAAAGTTTCTTATTCATTATGGATTAGCATTCTATGCAATCAAAATCCCTCTTCAGTATGCCATCTGCGTGCTTCGTCATCAGAATTTCTGTGTTTCTACGTCTCGGTTTTCTTACATCAGTATTTTTCTAAAATTGTTTTCATAATATTACATGTAGGTAATTCAAGAGATAATAATTAAATCAAAATTACATCATGAAAGATAGGCAGAATGTTGACAGAAAATATAGGTATCCAAATTAAATCAAAAACATAAATGTTTCAGAATTGAAACAAAATCAATTCTATAAAATTAATAAAACTGATATAAAAAATGTTGAAAATACCTTGGTATTTTTCAAGGAGCAGTCTGTTAATTTTTAGCAGAGCCACATTTCTGAATTAACCCTTTGACGCGCGGTGGTTGCGCCCTGAAACCACCAATTTTCGTATTTTTTTCTCCTCTTTCTTCGGAAATTTATGAGTGAAAATAAATTGATTACTGATCTTTGATCTCTAAATAACACAAAATGACTACAGAATCATACATGTTTTAGGTCTTAGTACTTCAAATCGGATGCCTTTTAAAATTCGGTTTCAATGAGATAAAATAACTTACTTTTATTAATATAAACAACTTTAAATTTCAAAAGTTATTCATCACACACCATGATTTCTATCATAAACAATAAAAAATAGCAATAATTAAACTGCATATATAAAAAAACTCTCTATATGTATGACATTTGTTTTGTGGTTTCAGGGCACAATCACTGCCCTACTAGAGCATTGTGTCACAATGCTCTAGAGGCTTGGTGGTCGCGCCTTGAAACCACTGCTCTTTACAATGGCGTTTGCTTGCTTCTCAAATAGGAATGTTTATTTTTACCCGGATATAGATAAGGGGTTTTGAAATCACAGAGTTATTTTATTACTAAACGATACACGCAGCTGCCCAGTAAAAAGGTCTTTCTTTTCCAGAGACTTTTCTCTGACCTCAACACACTTGCCCCCCAAGCTAGTATTGTGATTTTATAAACTATTTCCTGTGGTTTAAATTTAATGTAAATATACTTTGCTGTAATTAAAAATAGAAATAGCTTAAAGTTTTATTTAAATTAAAAATATTTTCTGAATATTTTGAGACAAAATGCGAATAAAATAAGTATGAATGGGAAACAAATGATCCATACGAAAGCAAAAAAGACCAAGCCCTCCCCCTCATTAACATAAAAAAACCACAAATGTCATGTGCCAGTTGAAAAGAAACTAAATGTCCTTGACATAAACCGGGGAAATTTTGATCAATCAGTGTACATTTTGTAGCACAAGGAAGAAACATCATGGAAGATACATGTGCGAAACATGCAATGTGGGTCTATGCATGTAAAAAGACAAAACATGCTTTGCACAGTGTCACAAAAAATATTTGTTCTTTGAAATTTAAAAAAAAAAAAAAAAAAACCCACTGAGTCTTTTTTTTTTTTATTCTTATTTTACTGAGTTTTTTTTTAATCTATGTAGCCAAATGTCCTTATTATGTAGATACTTATACTTTCACAGCTATAGAAAAATTACATAAATGTTTATTTTTAAATTTTTTCTGATGATTTAGTTTGTAAAATAATGTAAAATACATATATTATGCAATTCTTACATGCATTTGTTTTAAAAAATTCGTAAATTTCGTCATTTATTGGAAACACGCACGAAAAAAGGTAAGTTTTTTTTTCCTACTACCCAGGTAAGTTTCAAAGTCCTAGACGCGCGGTGGTTTCACAGTGCGACCACCACCCACAAAACAATGGGCAAGAGTAGATTTTTTTTAATTCATATATTATTTGTCTCTAGGATTATGATATTCAATTTCTAGTTTTTAGTTAAAAAAATTATAAAAATAATATCGCGCGTGTCAAAGGGTTAACCTAGATGATTGTTAATAATGGAAACATTTCAATATATTAAAATAAAAGCCAGTAAATAAAATTAAAAGAAAATACCAACTTACATAATTTAGTTAAAATTAAATTGTTTTAAAAGTGCAACAAAGTAACATTTCTAGGAATTTATAATCTAATTAATCTTAAAAATATAATTTGATGTGACCCCAAAATAAACATTTTGAAAGGATAATAAAAAGAATTCTCAAGCAAGAAACAAGAATAAATCAAAAGTAATTTGTTAAAATAATTAAATTGTCGAGTAAAAATACCTGAATAATCATTAGTAAATTGAAAGTAATGTGTTAAATAAATATCTATATATATGTAAGATATAAAAGTATGATGAAAATTTATGAACAGATTAAATTTAATTCGAACAAATTCATAGTATACCTTTAAATTACTAAGTTTTAATTAAAGTACAACCTCTTCAAGTATCTGTGTTTTCCTTGCAGTAACCACAGTGCGTAAACTGTTGTCCAATCTCTGCAGGATTAAAAGAAAGCACTCTGAGATTATAAGTACTACTGAAACTATTATGCTTTCTCTTTTGTTGCCTACTCTTGCTGACAAAAGACTTGCTTTGCTGCTTTTCTTCATTATTAAAAATGTAATCCATCATAATCAAAATTGTCAGGTGCAGTTTGTCCCCATTGTGCTGTGCAATGTTATAGAGTAATCAACAAGTAATAAAGATATGATTGGATTATTAAGTTAATTAGTAATTCTTCAAAACTTCCTTTAATTTTCTACTATGTAAATGACATTTCAGTGATTTTCTAACTTCACTCACAACTGCAAAATAATTGGTGTTTTCCCTAGTCAAGCACTCATCTAATGTCAAATTATCTGCAATAAAATAATTTATCATCACATATACAGGGCGATTGCTAATTCATGGTACAAACTTTTAGGGTTGGTACAGGACACTGTAACAATCACATTTTGTATAGGAATGTATGGTCAAAAGTGAAACATCAAAAACCAAGCACAGGAAAGAACAAATGATAGGGAGAGTGTTTTATTCTCATAACCTCGTTTACAAGTGCAAATTAATTATCAAGTTCTAAAAGACTTTTAAAATTTAATATGGAAAATACTAAATATATTCCATGCTTCAGTAATCAAAATACTGAGTAGATCAAGCTATATCAGAAGAGATCTATAGTTAAAGAAAAATTTACATGACAAATCATAAATTATAGGTGGAATGTAGTGAAATATTTTTTAACAATAAAATTATATTTAATTCTTTTATGTGAATAAAGAAATGATATATGATGAATGATTTATTATATCAGTCTTAATTTGAATATTATTCTAGATAAAATTTATGTAGTATTTTATCATTTTCCTGCGTAAATTATGTTATCTAGTATTTTGCATTCTCTATTAATAAAATTAAAACTTAATCAAGTACAAGTTGAATAATAACTGTTAAAAAATGCTATGAATTCTATTAATTAACTATAAGATGTGATTTGATGCATAATATATCTATTTATACAAATTATGGAAGGTTTTTTTTTTTTTTTTTTTTTTTTTTTCCCAATTGAAAGTTCAATCAAGGTATTTTACCAAAGAATAACTTTTATTTGGAATGTAATCCATATTTTTTCTTTAGTGGCACAAACTCGAAATATTAAATAAAAATAAATGCATCGTAAACCAGTTAAAACTGATTAACAAGCATGACTATTAGTTTATGCAAAATGGATCTGAAATTTGAATTTGCTCCAGATTGGAGTCAATCTTACTGCAGATTGTAGAAAGTATTGTTTAAGTGAATTATATTTTAGAGTATATGATATTTACTGTGAGAAATAGCTATGTGGACAATATTATCGGATTTAAAAAAAGTAGATTTATATTATATTGTTTATTTATTATTATTTCAGTTAAAAATGAATTAATAGCAACAATCAATAAAAATGTGATTTGCTTTTATGATGATTACAGGTTTATTATCTTTCACTTTTCACATTTCACTTTTATTTAGCAAGAATAAGTTTACTTTTTTTTAGCTAATTTTGTTTTCTCAGATTGCATTTGTTTAATGCAGCGTATATGTGTATGTTTGAAAATATAAACATATGCATTTTTAAGTGAACTTATTTTTAGTTTATACGAGGCTATCCAGAAAGTAGATTACGTTTTGGAATAAAAAAATAAACAAAGTATAGGAAACAAATTTTATTATATACAGATGAAAGCCACACTCAAATACTACTTTTCTACATAGTCACCATACAAATTAAGGCATTTATCGTAGCGATGTACGAGCTTGGAAATTCCTTCGTCGAAAAATTCGGCCGCCTGCGCCTTCAACCACTTCGTTACCTCTTCTTGCAGCTGTGCGTCGTCATCAAAACGCATTGATTGCAATTTCGTTTCACAGTTCACATGTTTCACCCATGTTTCGTCACCAGTAACGATGCGATCGAGTAAAGAGTCACCATCCTTATGGTAAGCGTCCAAAAAGTTCAACGCTGCAGCCATTCGCTGATTTTTGTGGTCCTCTGTCAAGATTTTTGGAATCCATCTTGCACAAAACTTGTGGTAACCAAGCTTTTCGCTGATGATTTCGTGCAACAAACTTCGCGAAATTTGTGGAAAACTCAAAGAAAGTTCCGTTATTGTGAAATTTCGATTTTCACGGACTTTAGCATCGACTTTTTCGAGAAGTTCGGCGGTCACTATGCTGGGTCTCCCACTTCGATCTTCGTCGTGAACATTGGTTCGGCCATTTTGAAATCTTATGACCCACTGACGCACTCCACCTTCAGTGATAATGTTGTCCCCATACACTTCACGAAGCTGCCGATAGATTTCTATCGGTTTACAGTTTTTTGCAGTCAGAAACCTTATTACTGAGCGCACCTCGCAGCTCGCGGGATTTTCAATTAACGCAGACATTTCAAACCGTCACAGTATCTGAACGGAGCACAGCACGAACCTCTCACTAGCACGGCTAGATGCAGACTGAGCTGCGCAACGCTCTGACCCCAAGATGGCCGCGCTAGCCCCGCCCCTAGCGGACACAGACGGAAACGTAATCTACTTCCTGGATGGCCCTCGTAATTAAAATTTAAGATTATAACATTAATTTCATTCAAGTAATGCAAACAAGACTACTGCATATATCTGTGTATCTGTATGTGTTTATATAAGTACATATAGGTAAAGCACAATGGTGAGGGATGAAGTGGGTTAATCTATCATTAATGATGACCTGTTGCAGGAAGTTGATCAAAGCATTTAAGAAAACAGACACTTTATGATTTAGTCATTATCTACAAAGTTTTCTAAAGTTTCAAGAGGTTTGCAGTGTGAAATGATGACAAAACAATTATATTATTGGAAGTTGTGCTCATGCTACAAAAAATTGTTATCAAATCAGGCTGAATGGTTTATTGAAAATGACAAAGTACACTAGGACTGTCTGCTTAAGGGGAGGGATGCCTTTGTGGAAGATTTTCTAAGGAAATTGTCTTTTATGCACATTGCACATGGGAAAAACCATGAAAACACCCATGCAGTTAGTCCATTTGCTGGAATTGAACCTATGTCAAAATACTAGCATTCATCTACTTTTACTGATTGGCCGCTAGTGGGCATCAAAGCAGGTAGCAGATTCTTATGAAGATGGAAGTGCCTTGTATATATACATTCACATTAATAAGTTACTTTTAAAAGACTGTGAAACATTTTACATTTTTGTATACAATAAAATTGAAATGCATCTTTTATTTTTTACTTCTTAATTTTAAAAATCCAATTTCTTAATTCCAGGAACAATTCTAATGCATAGTTTTCTCTCCTATTCATTATCTTGTATTAATTTCCTCTTTGATATTACATTGAAATTCTTATAAAAATCAAGATCTATTGTAAATCAAACTTTTTTCTTTATTTTAGAACAACTAAACGAGCTAGTACTTTTTATGATGGTGCAGAGTTATCTCCAAAAGGCGTTTGTCACATTCCAATGCATACACCTTTCTGTCCTGCTACTCGAAAGGCAAGTTTAGTTTGCTTTTATTTGCTGTTGGTTATTATTTTGAATTTCTTGTGATGTACTTTATTTCCTTGCATACTTTCCCTCTCTTTATTGCTAATTTTATCATCTGAAAATCGAGACGAGAAAATTATATGAATAATTTCATTTCTGAACAATATTGCTATAGTAAGAATATAACAAATGAAAAATAGTAATGGATAAAACAGGTAACTATCATGATACATATCTTCAAAAGAAACCTTCATTCCAATATTAATACATAGTAATATTAATATGACATTATCTAGTAAGATATCAGCAGATAGATATAGCCATCAATTCAGCTAAATTTTATTACTGAGTAACACAATTCTTTAGATGCAATATGTGATTCACACATTATTATGGGCACAGTATGCACCCCACATTTTTGGTATCTTGGCACATCTTAAGACAACAGATGATAAGCTTAAGTGCGTAACAATGCATGTTAGCCAAAGCAAAGCATAGCAGTAAAGTGACTGCATGTTCAGAAGAAACATGAGAAATGTTAAAAAGTTTTGCTTTTGATAGAAAGTTAATTCAATTATTGGACAAATGGTGTTTGCATTGCAGCCTCACATAAAATCTTATAATGTGGATTATTTTGAAATGATGCAGACTAGATTATATGTTATGAATAGTTACTATTTTTAGGACAAAAAGGGGAATATCCAGACTAAAATGAACAATAAAGAGTCTATAGCAAAATTAAAATTAGTAGTTTTCTGTAATATTTTTTATCTTACATACCTCCCCTTCAAAGAGAAAAATGCTTGGTGATAGGAAAGCTTTTCTGAGGGAGGGGAAAGGAGTAAAATAAAGAGTCCTATAATATGGCAAATGCAAATCATAAAATTTTGAACTGAGTAATATTTTTTAAACTAATTACAAATTTTTTATATAACATTTTGGATAATTAATGCAAGTTTTAGAGCTTTATTAAAGTTTTCAGTATTCAGTCAAATTTTAAGAAGTTCTTGTTTTTGGAAAGTCCACATGATTATAATGATTCTTTAATGAAGGTCCTTCTCTGCCCCCAAAAAAATCTTTACACAGAATATCACAGTTATAAAAAAATTTATATACCCATTACTTATTTTGAATAATCATAACTTATCTAAAAAATTTACACCACACTAATTTTCAGATTTATAACTTAAATTTTAGCATAATAAATTTATATTATGGCTCTTTTTGCTATTTCATTTGTAATTCTTTATTTTACACAAAACTGAAAGACCCTACAGCTTTCAAATACAAACATGTTCATCTATTGTGTATATCAATATTAAATGACTGATGTAAATTCACCAGTGGTTTAAGGAATTATAAAGGCTTCTGTCTATTTACATAAGGAAATTGGCCTTTTAGGACATGCTATTATATATAAAATACAATAAAACCACATTCCATCATATAAAAAATGTAAATCATAATTACATCTGAAACAGTTATGTGTTTTTCTAAGGTTGGAGCCTTCAAGTTTAACTTGTATGAACAGAATAAAAGGAACAATTATGCAGAGCTAAAAAGAGGCTCCTGTTTTTGAATCTGTACTACTCTTTTAACATACTCTGTTTTTATATACAGTTATTCAATTTCTTAAATTTTTAATGATCAATATTCTAAACATGACATACTTTATTATACTCAAAACACAATTTTTATACCTATTTTCCATATTAGTATTTAATATCACTTATATTTTGTATTTACCTCATTCTTAAAATTCGAATTTTTAAACAATTTTATTTTTAAAATAATTCCAAAAATATAATTATTAATCGTATCAAAATTTAATAACCTGCTCTAAGTAAAATAATTTTAAAATCTTAAAATGCTTTACACAGTTTTTAAACTAAATTTTAAAAATTCAAATTGCTAATGCCATCACATTTTAATCTAATATCTTCATAAAACAGTGCAACATTATTAAAATTCATTATAATAAGAAAAACAGAATTACATATCCAAATTTAACACGTAATTTATATCATTTGCATTTTTTATTTGATGATCTCAACTAATTTTCTGTATCAGAACTTAACTGCACCAAAATGTTTCACATATTGGAGTTGAAAACATTTCTTATAATTACAAATTAATGATTGTAAGGCTGATGTTTTTAAACAGTTTAAAGATTATTCAAAAGCTCCAAATAAGTTTGAAAACTTTGAAGGTTGACTGCATTAAACTGCAAAACATAAAGGCCTTTTTTTTTTTATCCTTAGCTACTGGACCGAACCTGAGAGATGTTTTATTAGACACGCAAAAAATAAAATTGATAGGCATGGCACAGATTCAGTTCTTGTCAACTAACTGTTTTATATTTGATAGATAACTGTAATAGACTGGAGATGGTTTATTGTCTAGATGTAAATTTAGAAGGCTTTACTGTGTACATAGAACGATGACACTTGCAGATAGATTAGCTGTTCATTCAGCATAATTTTATTACTGTATAACACAGTTCTGTAGAACCAATATCCGATTCACACATCATTATGGTGTAACGTCATCAGCTATTTTCCCACGGACTCCCACGAAGTCTGGGAAAAGGAGACTTCAAATGGGCGCCAGATGACCACCCTGATGACACTTACGAATTCTTGAGGTCAAACGTGACCCCCAACAAAGTGCGGAAAGCATATAGTTTTTACGAAAGGAAAAACTTTCATACAAGTTCTCACGGGTTGTGGAGTGTCCATTGTGTGTATGCGATAGACTGTCGCCAACTGCCTGTTTCTCGAAATAATTTAGACTTCCTAAAAGACGTTCTGTATTTCCCACGGAAAATTTCACTTCTCAGGCTGTCAGACAGTACTGAGAACAATCAGCGCCTGTTAACCAATGGAGAGATGCCTCCAAAAGACGTTTTAGCGAATCACTGCCGCAGACGCACAACGACACGCCCAGAAAAAACCCTGGACATAAAACAGTGAGTGAAGTAATTAGAGAGATTTAGTCTGAAGAATACGCAGTCGATGCGTAGAGAAGAGAGAACCTTTCTTTTTATTTACGGCTCTTCCCGAGTCGCTAGTAAGCTTTAGAGAGCCCCTTCTCTCTTGTGTATTTTACGGCTCGTCCCGAGTCGCTACTAAGCTCTGTCAAGAGCGGAAAAGAAACTCTCAAAGCGTGGCCGGACTTTTTCTCCGCTACCTCTGTTTGGACTTTGAACTCAGTGATATCGTTTCCTATTGTAAAGGGCTATTTTGCTAAGCAAACTACTTTGTTATGATAAGCAGTTGAACTTACCTTAAAATTCAACTTGTATAATTTACACCTACCTTTCATATTTTATTACGCTACCCAAAAATAAAAATCTGATAGACGATAGATGATACACAGAGACAAGCTATGATGTGTGTTAGCCCAGCAAAGCAAACGGAAAAAAGTAACTGCATTCAGAGAAGGACGAGAAGTATTAAGTTTTGCTTTCAAAAGTACAAATATTTTTCAGTGATTGGATAAGCAGCATCTGCATTGCAGCCTATGTAAAACTACTTTGCTATGATAAGCAGTTGAACTTACCTTAAAATTCAACTTGTATAATTTAACACCTACCTTTCATTATTTTATTTACGCTACCCAAAATAAAATCTGACTGTTCTCAAATCGCTACAGCTAGAAGGTATGTGTTAATTGGTGGCAGTGGTGGGATTGTAAAAACCCAATAGACAAACAAAGACGTGATCGTTTTTGGAGAAACCGTCCCCGGTTCTTATCTTCATTCAGAATCAGCCGATTCTAGCATGGAAAAGAATTCTTTCGCAGGAAGTTTTGGAGTTTGGAGAGTTTGCAAAGGGATCATCGATGAGAAGCTTCGTGAAGAATCAACTACTACAAAGACTAGTTCCGGAGCCTGGGAAAGAGTGTGAAGTAAAATCTCCCCTGGGTTGTAAATGGGTGTAAAGACAAGACGTAAGAAGTCCAACAAGAGTGAAGTTGTGAATTGCGTTTGGTGTTTACCACCCTCTGTGCAGTGAAAGTGCTTTTGGTGTTTAGTGAAAGAAGAATCGCCCAGTCGACTATTGTTCAATTGTTTTCTTCTTCGGTCATTGAATCGCGTGTGCAAATAGAAAGAAGGAAAGAAGAGCTGTTATTTTTTTGTCTGCAATGGGTAAGTTGATATGGCATTATCTTTTTAAAGAGGCATTTTAATGGAGTTTGTCTTTTGTGTATCGAAATTATTGTTTTAAATGGTTACTCGTAAATGTTTTGTTTTTGATGAGAATTTTATAATAGTATTTTCAACCTTTAGAAAGCACGCCAGTGGTAAATTGAGTCAATAAGTATTGCTCTTGTGATAATATTCTTTTGCCAATAAGTATTTAGCAATTTTTTTTTTATATACTGCATTAAGTATGGTTATGTGTTAAGCTGCAACAGATTATTTAAGAAATGCTTAATTTACTTTAATTTTTTTTTCCTATGTTGCTAATGGACGTATTTTATGTCATACATACCATAAATGCATTGCTATGTTTTTTACTGTAGTATTTCTGGATAGTGTGAAACTTTCAGAGTAGACAAACTGTACCTTTAGTTTTATTTTATTGTATCATTTTAAAATTTTGTCACTGGCAAAATGTCTATCTTGGCAAGGGTAGAAAGCAACCTCATAAATCTGTCTGTAGAATTAGGTCTAGAAGTTCCCCCAAATGCAAAAATACAAGATCTTAAAAACCTCATTGTACAGAGCCCTCAGTATGACGAAACATTCGTCGAGGCAACACTAGAGTCGATTATCGAAGCACGAATCGAACAACATAGACTCGAAGAAGCCGAAGAGCGTAAACTTGAAAGGGAAAGGGAGAGAGAATTGAAATAGAACGTCTAAGGTTGACAAACGCCAATAATGGCAGAGAAAATTCTCAAATAATATTCCGAGATCTATGAGAGATTTGCAAAATTTAATGCAGAGATTAATCCCGAATCATCGGATATTTCACTTTACTTAGTGATGTTTGAGCGTCAGG